TCCCCACGGATCTTGTTGACTCTTGGCGGAACATTTAAGTGGATTTTAATATTCATAAACGTACTCAGCAACAAAAGCTAGTGAGGAATCATAGAATCCGACGGCAACAGAATAGGTCTAATCCCTCTGTTATCTCCTTCGATGGTTCCTTTCATCCAACAACCTTGAGAGTTACTGGAGCCTGGAAGATTACTTCCCCCTTTAATATGGTCCTTCAAATCGGGTCAACGGACATTCAGGCATTATCTACGTTACAAACTAAGACAATGACCTGTTTGCAAGCCCCCAAGAGGCATCCTCTCTGGGGATTAAACATGTCAAAGTCCATACAGATTGTGAATTTCTCACAAGCCCTCGGGACACGCAAATCCCGATGGAAGTACAAGAATTAATTCCTCTTTTAAATACTCTTATAGACTCTTTTGATCAATGTGAACTGATTAAAGTTGATTGGTCAGAAGTAAAGGAATTCATAATATAGCTTATTATCGAATGCAATGTAATAGATTAGGATCTTTGGCTTAATCTAATGCAGGTATCATTCACAAAAAAAAAAAAAAAAAAATGTATCACATGGGTGGGAGGGTTGGGTGGGATGGTTAGGGGATTAGGATGGGGAATGGTTACTACCGGGAGGTCGAGGGTTCGATTCTCACTGGGGCCATCCAATTTTTTTTAAAAAAGAATAAATGTATCACATGAAAAGAAAAATAAAAGTATAGGTGAGAGTGATAAGATCAAAATATTGAAATTGGTGATTAAGGACTAATGAAGAATTGAAAAGATCAAAAGACTAAAATTAATCATCAAAATTAATGATTTGGAAGATCAAAAGATTAAAATTATAGAGAAAAGAATATCTTTTGTAATTTTTTTTAATTTATAAATTTGGCGCACATGTGAAGGGATTACTACCAAAATTCATGTGTCAAGTGAGAAAGTCCCTATATATATAGAGAGAGAGAGGGGGCTTAATGAGCATTTATTTTAAATTTTTTATTCATATTTTGGCTTTATTATATCATTCTTTTGCTTGGTAAATGTTATTTCCGTCCGAAATGATTGTCCATTTTACGTATTTATTTTTAGATCAAATTGTACTAAAACTGAAATGACCGAAATGATTGTCTAATTTATATTTTTTTAGTTCAAATTGTATAAAAAATTAAACAAAAATCTAGATAATAATTTTGGGATAGACAATGACTTTTTTTGCAAAGATATTGTTCGATTTTTATTTATTTTTACAATAAAAGAAGACAAAACCTAAAAATCTAAACTATTACATTTTGTGAATGAAAATTTCCGACCAAATCGTTTTCTCACCGCATAATTAAGATCAAGTATAACAAGAAAAAACCCAATGGAGTACAATACATGAGATAATACTAATATTTCACAAAATAATCTCTATTCAATAATTTATTTATACCTTAGATGATCTCTCTATAAATCTTGACCATGTGACATTCATATTTCAAATAATACCACGATACTATTCTTTAATGTCTTCTTGGAACTGTTATCCCAAAGTCGTCTCATCATCCATTGGTGTAATATCATTAAGTGGACCATCATCACTTCGTCACCTAGCTAATGGATCCTTTGGAAAAGAATTCGGCCGCCTACTTAGTTTGATTAGCATCGACCATCGAATTATCTCCAATAGCATAATATTTTATCCGATCGAGTGTCGTTTTAATTGGAATAATATATTGTTACTTATCCATTATGACCCTCTAATGGATATCGATATGAGCCTCTAATCCGTTATTCTCCATATGAACATCACTTGTACCACTTGAATATTCCACAACTACTTCAGGGAACCGAACTTCTTTCCCAATCTCAACCCTCATTACAAGATCTTCACCTTCCCTATTGTTCCCGTAAACCTTCTCTCCTCCCCCTTCTTTTTTTAAAACCACGTTGCACCTCCCGCAATTCCGTAGCTGATTTACTATTCCCATTTCTTCCCATGCTAACTTGCTACTATCACCACCCTCAATCCCACCTATATTTTGTGGAGCATTTGAGGTCTCCAACTCCTCATCGTCTAGCTTTGAGAATTTTATCCAAGTTATCATTTTCTCTTCGAATTGGTTGTATTATCCTGAGGCACTTGAATCCACAGGCCGTACACCTCAGTAGCTCCCGCAAGTAAGCCAACTGATCTATCAGCATGTCTATTAGAGTTGCCAGTGCTGCCTCGATCATCAGAGCCATCCATTCGATCACCACTGTTCGATTTCAACCCCCGGGGTCAACCAGTCATAAACCAACGACCGTACAGTACAATCCGCCTTCACTTCACAAATCCTCGTTCATATTCGTCAAAAATTCTGAAAGTTGCCTAAAAATCAATACTTTGTAGCGCAAATGGAGAAAGCTGATTTGAATGTGACTTGGAAGAGGTATCCTTCAAAATAATAAGATTGCTTCCTACTGTTCTCAGCATCTCTTCTTTCATCGAATTTGGGCTAAAGAACAAGCAATACTACTAGCGAAGCAGTAGTACCGAGCCAATCAACAAAATGCCTAAAAACCGCTTCAGTAAAATGGTTAAAAAAATTGACGTATACAAGTGCAAAAAAAATCTAAGTTGCAAGATTCGGTTAAGAATGTCAGGGAGCAGATGCACAAAAGAACTATATCGAAGGTACGCCTTGCTTAGTAAGTAATATGAATGATATTAGTACAGAACTCTTAAAATCAAACTTTTACTATTCTCGAACCTAACCAACTAATCTTTCTCCCATCGACATACGAAACCTCTCATCTAGGAACATTTTGCATCCTCTCACAGTTAACAAACTAGTATTAGGCATGCCGTCATCGTACGAATATTATTTGCATCAGTTCTTTTACCATCAAACAAAACTGAATTGGAGGTATTTGCTACACAAACTTTCCACTCAAAGATTTGTGTTCACAAGACCTCACCTCAAATACTGAGCCTTGATAAAGCTTATTTGCTTAGCTACTCTCGGCAGATTCCTTCCGGTAAGCCCGCAGCCTCTCTTTCAGCTTCTTGCTCTCTTCAAAATTTGCCTTTCGTTTCACAGCTTTCTGAGAGGAAAAACAAAAATGATCAAAATGAGAGGGGCATTGGCCACTTGCAGCGTAGTTTTTGGTGTCAGAATGGTAGACAGGCATAATATTCATATTAGACAAAATACATTCCCAATTGAGATATCATACTTCTTGGCGGAAACATCGATCGAGCTTTATTTTCAAATCTGTACATGTTCCAAAAAACTTCCCAACCGGATGATCTAAGTGACACTTCTGGAACTCCTCAATAATCTGCATCATATCAGAAGTAAATAAAATCAAACACCTCACCAAATATATAAACAAATAATTACAGCAGGGCAATTCTTCGGCTAACAATCCAAAATTAGGGTCTCTAGACTATAGAGCCAGTTCAAATTAGAAAGCACTATGAACAGACACCCCAAGCATCTCCAACATACAGGGAACAAAGATCATGAAATCAATCAACTGTTCAACGGGTATATCTGGTCACTAGATGGGGAACAAAAAGGGCGCTAAAGAAGCCAAGGGTTCCCAACATTTCACTAATGTCTGAAACTAAACAATGAATCTAAACCGGCAGACAAGAGTTCCTTAAAATCCTCATTCACCTCAAAATATAATAGAGTCTCAACACTACTTAAGCAGCTGCTCATCCAAATGGGAAACAGAAATCCGTAAATTAACTGAAGCATTTCTTCTCAAAAAGTACTGCAAGACCATCTTGTTTAGAACTAACAGAGCTATATTACTAGTCCCATGTCATTTAGTTCGAGAGATGATACTAACAAATGCCACATATAAGGGAAATCATGAACTCTTATGGAAAATGCAAACTTATCACTATATCAGCTTTGACATAGCACTAGATTGATCATAATCATGTACTCATATCAATAAAAAAATTGTTATCATACGTGGAGAACTGAGAGATACAATAGAGCAGAGAATAAAAATCCCTAAACTTACTTCAGCACACATTGGGTGCCTGTGTAATGTTAAAGGAGGATGCATTTTCCTTTGACTGGTTCAAAATGATCCTTGTACAACCTGGAAAACTCAAAAAAGAAAAAAGAGAACACTTTGTCAAAAATTCATGCATTCTTTTAATTAGAGGTCATCAGGCATTACCAAAATTACTCCTTCCAAATCATCCTGCTCATTTCTCGGGGTAAGAAAACTTTGTAAAAATACAATCTTATACTCCGTTTGATAATCACTGAAGTCTGAATCTGAATACTTAACACTGAAGTCTGAAATCTGAAGATTCAATTTATATTGTTTGATAAAAATGTCTGAATTTAATGTCTGAATACTGAAGTCTGAAGTCTGAAGACTGAATCTGAATGATTAGGTCTTAAAGTTACTTAAATTTTTAATATCATTAAAATTGAATTATAAACAAAATTCTTTTAAATAGAAAATAACTAATATTTTGTTCTAAATAATGAAATAATAATTTTAAAATAAATTTTTAGTATATATAATGAAAATAGATATTACACTTGGTAGATAATCAATATATAATTAAATTTATATTATTTACATATATCGATATATATATATATATATGTATACCTTGTTATCTTTAGCAAATTTTATGTATTAAAATTAGTTTAATTTGAGTTTGAAAGTTTGAGATTTTTTATACTCATAATATAAATTCAAATTTAAGCACTCTTAATTAATTTATCTTAAGAAATTAAAAATTTTAAAACAATGTAAAAGTAAGTGTCGAAATAAAGATGAGTTAAAAAAAGGGAAAAAAAAGAAGAAAAAAAAAAAGAGTCATTACAGAAATTAAGTGTTAAGTGATAAGTGATAGGCCTATCACTTATTTTCTAGCTCACAATTGAACTAATTCAGACGCACTTAATTAATTCAGACAGTGAAATTTTAGTTATCAAACGCACTTAATTTACAAATACTTAATTAGTTCAGAACTTAATTCATTAAGACTTTTTAGTAGAGATTATCAAACACACTTAATTTCATTAAGTACTTAAATAAATTAAGTCAATGTAGTAAGTGATTATCAAACAGAGCCTTCATTATCAGTGAGAACCAGATTTTACAGTAATAAGTTTGAATATGAATTGTCATATGCAGGGAAGAATCAAAGACTAGCAAATTAGCAACCATCAGCATACCACTGGATAACCCAGAAAACTAGCTGCCCAAGCTTTTCTAAGTTTTTAGTCGATTGTGGGAACGCCATTATAAGGAATTTAATCCAAGAACAATTGTTTGCATAGTCGACCCACATAACGTACGCAATGAAGCCATGAACTTGTGGTTGATATTCCCAGAACAGTTGTCTTGTTAAACTAGAACCATCGTCCCCTCTTCCCTGCCCCCCATGGTGTTAAATTAAGCATTTCATATTCTCACAAGATTCCATTAGGTCATACGAAGACAATATCAATAAGACCACAACGAGGACCTTCCCATCTTCCCATGCAATTTTAAGCAACAAACAATAAATATTAGAGGGCAGATTTTAATGTACTTGTCAAACAAAGGATGTATGTCCGTTCTACTAAATTCGTATTAATTTCAATCATTTCAATTTATTCGTACTCTCAGCCATTAGAGAACCCCGTATTCCGAAGATGTACCCAGTTAAAACAAAAACTGGGGTGTTTTTTTCATCACTCAGGAAAATCTAGTCCCCTAATAAAATCCATCTGAGTTAATAAAGACAAAGCCACAAATATAAATGAGATAATCAATATGACTCCCTAAAGATGGATACAAGATTACTTAGTCAATAAATCAGTAACATTCAAGTTCATGGTCAACCATCACCTAAGAAAGATGGATACAAGATTGTACTCACAGGAGTCCCTTCCAATGAAAAAATAACAATGGCATAAAAACAACAGATAGCAAGAAAAGTGACAGTTTTTTCCACAGAAAACGGCGAAGATCTTGTAGACTAAGAATTTCATAGTAGAGGGAACGATACTACTTCTCATACAAACAACATAGTCCGCACTGAAATTGCATCATTTAGAGTCTTAAGCCATAAATGATGCATGCAGAACTTTGTCATCGCCTATCATGGGAACCATCAAAAAAGTAATACGAGGTGTACTTGAACCCATATTATGCACTGAAATTTTCTAGTTGTGCCATTCCATATGCTCTTCGGCCTTTTACCAAACACTTGTTGATCAGTAAGGATTCTAACAAACAGAACAGACACCTTAACCCAAAACAAATCTAAAAATTTATACACAATCCGTCTGTATGCGGGCTACATACAAAATTAACTTAAACAAGATTAATCGTAGGGAAAGGGAGGAATCAAAACACAGGGAAAAAGAAAACAACAACATCCGGCCTGTATCATTATAAGTGTCATGTACCTTTAAAGATGTGAGTTTTCTTCAATGGAGCTCGTTCCTCAATGTTCAATTCTGCAAATATTGTTTTGTTCCCCCAAAGACAGTTGCAGCTGATGAGAATCAATCATGACGAAGACGAAGAAATAACCACAGAAATGGAGGATTTCATTTATATCTCTGCTCCACCAAATCCCACCGACCTGTAACTTTGTCCCGTTATGAAATTCCCCCCTCATGTTTTCAGAAACATCAAATTAACCCATTGACTATTCGTGCAGAGAGCCAACCAATAATAAGGTATGAAATCACTTAACAAATCACACTTCTACGGGCCATAAATCGGCCGACCAAATGATTATTATTATTATTTTTTTATTTTTGTGAAGATTTTAAACTGAAGGCTAACGCCTCAAAATACATTAGGAGATTCCGCCCGAGTCATTTCCTAGCGGAATATTTATACAAGTCGGGAGAATATTAAAAAAATATAACCCCTTATCTAACCCCAAAGCGGCCTTAACTAAAGTATTCGCACATATATTGTTCTCCCTTTCCGGGTACATAAAACTAGCTTCCCATTGAGATTGCAAAAGAGTGTAAATCCCTCTCAATTCAGGGACAAACTAATTATTTCGAAACAGAATAAGTATTATATTTTTCAGGAGACTCCAAATTCGAGATTTAACTTCAACTTATGCTTCTAATATTAAAAAATAACGCAAAAAGATCTATTTCGGGATAGCGGGAGTATCCACGCTAAATTTGGACTAATTTCGGAAGGTACAGTTTTTTTGTGATAAAATGCAATGCCTTTTTTACTTCTGTTATTGTAATACTTACAGAGAATGATTTCTCCCTTGTTCAAGTTATCAGTTATCACATCTTTGCTAGATTACGGATAACAGATTCCTCCAAATCATGTGTACCAAATCCGAGAACCATTGAACTGGCACACGAAGATACATCAAATTCGTATTCTCTCGTGCCAGCAACTATAATGCGCCTACTTTTCACCCAGTAGCTGCTATATCAGGACAGAATTTGAGCAGACACAAGTGCAACTACAAGTACAACCACTTCACTATCGAGAGAAAGAAATGTAACCAACATGAAAACCCAATGCTTTGTAATTTCCGGGAGTAGAAAACACCAAAAATTTCGGCTAATTTAATCTAATTCAATCTTAGACTACAATATACAAACTAGCCTCAGCCATTTCCACATTTGGTCATATCTTTGTCAGCCACATAATTTTTCCCTAAAAACGCCACACCACTCTGGAGGAAGATGCATATCCAAGTCCTCGGTCTAAATTCACACGTTCATCATGTATTTACAATGCAGGCTTGATGGATTGTTGGCTGAAGCAGGCATCTCTTTCTCCATATTCAACTATGAGTCTACTTTTAACATTCTGGGAGCGACTGAGCAGAAGCATATGGGGAAAAGCTAGCAGCCGACTCACTATAATGAAGCGGGTGCTGCTGCCGGCTAGAAGAGCCAATGTAACTAGATGAACCATTGCCTGGGCTAGGAACATATGGAGACATGTACTGCATATTTAGAGGTGATAAAGATGGGTAGCCGATTGATTGAGATGAGATCAAATAAGAAGCCTGAGATCTTTGGGAAGAAGCATTTCTCAGGTCAACTGAGCTCCGACTTACAGCAAGATAAGGAGACTGGTTATAGGATCGCAGAGATTGTTGGTTATAAGGAGTGGTTGAAACAGAATTAGGACGAGAGACTGAAGGAGAACGAGATGAGGCTGGGTTTATTCGTATGGCTGATGATGAGGCTAATGATGACCTCACAGATGACATAACGGACGATGATAAAGTAGAAGCTGGACTGGATGAGAGCAACGGAGTAGATTCAGATGCAGGTGGTTCACCAGTGCTAGTTCTTGCATCACGTTTGCACACAGGGCAAAATGTTCTCCAAGATGTAAGCCAAGCATCCACGCATACTGCATGGAATTCTGTCAAAAGATTATAAAACATTAGATAATCATGTTCATGCTTACAATGCATATCCAGAAACAGTGATGCAAACCCAAGTATGACATTCAAACAGCAACTTCATTTTACATGTTCAAGACAGAAATTTAAACAAGCTCTAAATAAAAAAATGAACATGGCATATTAAGAGGAAGTGCCTCTAAAGCAATATCAAAATGCAACAAACACACACCTACTCAAACTATGGAGTAACAGAAATATCAAAGCTTTTTCTTTCCTTTTTTGTTTTATGAGACATTGCAGCTAACTTTCACCAATTGCACGTTTATGGAACAAAATCACACGTTTATGGAACATTTATGCTTTTTCTGATTCATTTTTTCAGAGTGCTTTTGGTTCTTTACGTGTTTCATTTAAACTTTACTTCTTGAAACACTTTTTACATTCCCCATACAGATTTTTAACATTCCCCATAAAAAACACACAAACTAAAAAAGCGAATCAAACACACCCTTCGTTTTTATGGGAGTTGACGCCTTGTATGATACATCAGTAACTGAAGGTGCAAAAGGGGAATGGAACAAATAAAGAAGGAAAGCCTTCAAACAAAGGGGAAGAGACTGCATTCACAATCTGATGATTAACTCAAGTGGAATAGAATTAATTGAAACGAACCATGTTACAAACCCTTGATTTTCTTTGGGCGTAATGGCTATGTGAACAAGGAATAATCTTCATTGTTTATACAGTCAACAAAATTCAATACTTTTTCTAGTTCTGGCTCCATAACAAATTCAAGGATAGGTTGCTCTTTAACTAGTAGAATTACTCCTATACCTCTGGAGAAGTAATACACTTCAACGGGAATACATCAACTACACTACTTTGTAGAGTCAGCTAATGGATCATATCTTGCCATCATTTTCTATCAAAATGTACCTCTCCATTGAAGACTCCAATGACAATGAGTTCAAATTTAGCACTACATTTTTCAGCTGACTAATTATTATTCAAGCACGCTTCCAGGCCAACATTCCAAAAACAAGTACAACATTATTTAGTTCAACTACCCCCTCCCCCCTTCTTCCCCTTACACACAAAACAAAAAAGCAAGAAAGATGAAAGCAGCCAACATCTTCAATTGGTTTATGTTCGTAGTTCTCTCGACAGAGCACAATGATTTGCTCAAAGTGCATCCAAGAAAGGCTCAGAGGTGAGCCCAGAAAGGACTCTAGCATTTCTTATCATCCATAAAAGCAAACCAATAACTGAACCTCGGTAAACAGTTCAATCTTGGTCAAAGAGTACCATAAGCAGCAAAGTTTTGAGAGGGCAAGTTACTGCCAGCAACCCCATGAACAAAGAAAAAGGAGCAGATTGGAGAATGTTTACTTAAAAGAGGTACAAAATTGATAAGATGGCAGTTCTAGGCACCATCTGAGTAGCCTTTTTCACAATTTTTCAAGCAGAATGAACATAGTGTACGAATGATACCTATTATGCACGATGATAAATTAAATATTGTAACTTTAAGTTACTGTTTATGATACCTTATGATGCTATGCGTAAGGAATTTTGAGACGCGCCCACTTTCAAAGATGGAAAAAAATAAGGAAAGTACAGAACAGAATGAAGGCTATCTTTTTCAATGTTTTCTATTCAGTTAACTTTTCTCCAGGAAGAAAAAATATTTTACCAACCATTCTACTTCCCTCACATCATATGTTTTTTTTTTCTTTGCTCTTTTTCCTCAAATGTACGCTAAAGTTCCCTCCCAAAAAAAGAAAAGGAAAAAAATTACTAACAAACAAGTACCTTGAAAAAAATGTCCCCTCTTCCAAGGAACAATTGCACCAAAACGCAAGAGTTAATGAATACAAACTGCCAAATATTTTAGAAATATTGAAAGATGGTGACCACGTGGAAACAAGTGTAAAATTTCAGAACTAGGAGAAAAATTGTATATCCATCTGAATCATCAGGAGTTAGGTAGAATCCATGAAATCAAAAACTTCGCAGAGGCATAGAATTGCTTGAAAGCTACCAGGAAAAAACCTCAGACATCTGAACCAGAAGGCAAAGACCATAAAAATCCCATCAATTCTTAATGATGTCAGCAGGCTAAACTCAGTAGTAGTTTGATTTTAGGAAAAAAAAGATCAACCATGCAAAACTCAAATACCCCATGAGAAAAACATGCACTTTAAATTAAAAAAAGTGCACCAAATGTACACGTATAATTAAAATTACAAAAAAGCATTGATTATAGATCAGCAGTAAGACCTTCACCCCGGTCTCTTGGGGATCTACAGGGATCATCTTTCATGATGATGTTCCACCAAAAATACAAATTACCATCTTGTCAAGACATACCATATCTTTTCCTAAGGCAATCCTGTTTCCCTTTAAATTAGAGTCAATAATTCTTAATTTTGTAAAAGCCATACTGAACCATCTAAAGGTATCCTACACAACTCCAAAGCTTTTAAATGGTCAATCATTTTCTCACCTATCAAGAGGACCAAACATTTAGGAGACTAGTTCAAATAATGATTATGTTGATAAACATATTCATCCCAATAACATACGGAGGCAAGAAAAAAAAATAAGTATCTCAACACATATAACCATATAATATCAATGAACACTTACTGTGACGGCAAGGCAGAACCCTAAGCTTCTCCCCAACAGTATAATCTTCGAGACATATAGCACAAGTCGATGAAGTGCAATTATCCTCAAGAACCGATGTAAATATTAAGCTGGGCATTGCTTTCACTAAACGGCTGCTCATACCATGGAACTCCCGGACATGAGAAGTACGAGGACGTTCGCGTCGGATACGATGCCTCCGGACAAAGAAACAGGTTGCCAGCACTGCAGACATGGCAAGTAATGAAATAAAAGATATAGCCATTATCGACCATGCTGAGTTCTCGAAGCTTGGCACTATCCACAGCTCAATGCCACTGATGCCAGCAAACTTTTTAAGAGCTTCGCCTGCAGCTCTAGTAACAAACACAGCATGTATTTTTATACCAGCCGAATTTCCTGCCACTGCAATTTCCAATGAACTGTATTAGAATATGCTTCAAAACACAAGTATCTCTTTTTAGAAATATTCTCTAATCCTACTTGCTTCCATCCACCTAGCCCATCCTCCCCATCCCAGTAGACTCCTCTTCAGTATTCTCCAAGGGGGTAAAGGTATCATTTAAAACCAAAGTTCCGTAATGTCCAAGACCCTATCCTGGATTCGGGATATTGATAGGGTAACTAGTTCTACATTATCGTTGGGCCATCTGGAAGATTCTGGATTCTGTATAGTTCTCACTTTACTACCCTTACAATCAGAAAATTAGTTACACCTCCAAGTTCAACCATGCTATATCATTTTTGTCTATACATACAATCATGCATCTCGAAACTTCAATTTTATGAGTTTCTTTACTAGTGATAGAAGGAACATATCTTGGACCTTAACTAGTATAACTTATATTAGGATTAAAACAAATGGTTTTTAATGACGTAGCTCCATTTCACATACGGACTCCAAGTAATTTAGGAAATGTCACAATGACAGTAGAGAAATGACAAATTTAAGGACTTAGGACTTAGGAAAGTGAAACATATTCCATCATGAAACCCGAAGGGTCCAAATCTTCATTCAATGAGAATGTCCCATAAAATTTTCTACGTCTTAATAAGATTGACGATTCGAGCAGCGCCGCTAGTCGTTGTACAGCTCTTGCCAAAATCCTCGAGTTTCTAAAACAGGAGTGAAGTTTGAAAACCTTTCCCCACTTACTTGAGGGACAAGTAAGATGATAGATCAACATCATGACCTGTATGACCTTGAAAATAAGCTACTTCACGTGGGAGCATTTACATTTCAATTGGGAAACGTCCAATGATCTTTGCTCTGTTTACACATGGTGACTATCTGGTTAAGTATCCAGAGGTGTATGCCAAAATAACCAGCATCCTACTAGATAGTTTCTGTTATTCATATTTGACTTCGTAATTTGTTTAGTCCCGTGTTAGACGTACACATGAAACCTCCAAATCATTAATAATAATAAACTGTATCCTTCTTAGTAGTTGTTATCTAAGTCTTCTTAGTAGTTCAGAATAATAATCCTCTTCCCCTTATAATTCGAGTAAATAGCTCTTTGGTTAGCATCATCACAGATAAATTGTGTCAAAAATTTGTGAGATTCCGTTCCTGAAGAGATCTTTTCTTTCCATATATAGACGACAACAGTAGATCAATATGTATAAAAGACAACAAGACATAATTCGGCAGTCCATAATTTCCATTAAAAGAGAAAAAAAAAGAATGCTAACTAAACTAACAAGCCCAGAAAGGCCAACGCGTAATGACTTTCCATTTTTGTTGCCAAATCAAACGCTCTCATGCACGGAAGATAAGATTAAACATGTTGCAAAAGGGAGGAAAGGGGAATTACTTGCAACTAATTCGCCATATTCAGTATTGTAGACAATGGCAGCTTTGAAGCCAGCAGCTTGAGCTCTTCTGATCTTTTCCTCAAAGCTACATCCTCCTCTCACAATCAGCACAAAAGGAGGTCTGGTGCTATTCTTCCCAGTAGGAATGTCATTAGTCAACGGTGAACAAGCATTCAATGGCTCCGCTATGTACAATGTACCACTTATACCAGAACCTTTCACCGAAGGAGCTGAAATGACAACACAAATATCAGTAAAACGCCACAGATAACATAACTATTAACAACAATCAGAACTAATCTTTCATATTATACACCGCAAAAAACAAACATAAAAACAAAGGAACAGCAAAAGTAACCGAGGAAGATGACTGGCTCCAGAAATGAAACTGAATCATTCAATCAGTGGTCAATCTTTAAACCCAAGTACCTAACTTATATTCCAACTGCACCCCATGACACATCTCAAGATGTCCGACAACTTTTTCTTTCTTTTTTTCAAGGGCAAAAGTTATCCTGAAGTCTATTTGGAGCAGTTAAGTGAATAAATTCAACAGTGTCAACATGATTAAACCAGAAAATCCAAAAATTTCAAAGTTGAAAAAATCCCAAAAGTTCTCCAGTAATTTCTCTTCCCAGTTCAACCATAACTACATGTAAGAAAAACAGCTGAACTGAACTCCCAAAGCTACATAGATGCCGAATTCCATAGAACCATAACTATAAGTATGCTTTGTTTGGAACCAAGAACTCGGTTCATGAAGCTCAGTCAATCAACCGAAAGCAAACCCAGATTCCAATTCCGATAGATGGTTCTAAAACCCCAAAAGTTCCGTAATCAAAAAAAAAAAAAAACATAAAATTACAGTACCAAACACCCGAAAATAATCAATTAAAACGACGAAAAAACCAATCTCGAGCTTACCAAAATTTGCTTCAATATCATCGAAAGATAAAGTAACATTGTTCCCTATCAAAACCACATGGCTAGAAGCTGTCACAGCCATTAACGATAAAAACCCAAAAAAATGAACGCAAAAATTCCTCATCTTGTTCCTCAAAAACCTCAAAATCCTCAAAACCCAATGAATCAATCTTCAAGGCGCTTTGCAGAGAGCGAGTTCAACGCAGAAGGGAGACGTTTAACTGGGATTTCAATTATGGGTGATAGAAACATCAGCTTCCATGCTACTCTTTCACGGGTTATGCATTGAAGGAGATCAAAATCCTGCAGAAAAAACGAAACTGATAATTGGGTTTTGAATCTTTTTGCTTCGATAAGTCAAATGTTTGAGAAAAAGAGAATAAAAAGGTTTTCTTTTTCTCTGGTCTTAACTCTTTTTTTTTTTACTCGAAATAGGAAAATATAATAAAAGTACTAATATTAGGCACACACATATTCAATAGATCTTTGTCAGGATTCTCAAGTTGGTGTGCTGTAAAGATAATCTTGATTTTCATCACTAAAAATTAAATTTTATATTCCAATCTCTATTATGACTTTATCTATTCTTACTTGACCAAAATGGCCTTGATTTAAATATGTAAACAAGGTTTTTTTTTCCTTTATCTTTTATTTTGATTATATAAGTATATACCAAGATCTTATTATAGTTTTTGTTTTGAATTTATGATTTAGACCTTGTTTGATAAAATTTAAGTTGAGTATGAAGTTCGAAAACTGAACTATAAGCGGTGAACTGATTAATTTGTCTTGCTTGATTAAAAAAATTAAAATATGAAAGTTAGAAAAAACGTATGAAATCTCAAGTTATAAAGATATTGATTTATGATTTTGTCTAAAAATAAAAATGAATGATATGTAAAAAAGCATAATAATAAAAGTAAAGGACAATTTCTTTAGGGTATATGGAAAGAACATAATAATGACTACAAAGGCATGAGTTACGTTTTTTTTTTCATTATACAATATTATTAATTTGTTTCCTCGCGTCAAAAGACCACGTTATCCTCGTTTCTTTTGTCACCCTGTCCCAAGTAATTTAACCTTAATTTCTTACTTTGGAAATTGAAAAATCAGAAATATAGATGTTCTACAAAATCAGAAAAAAACATCAAAAAAAAGAGAGGATAAATTCCCTCAACTCACGATTCGGGATCCTTCCATTTTTATCTTCATCACTTATATCAAACTTTTACTCTCCGATTAAACTTTTTCAATATCTACCGATCAACTAACCGGTTCATACCAATTTTACTTTGTTTTCTTTCAAATAATTATTTTCTTTTTTCAATTTTTTTTCAGTAGTGTTCTTGATCTAGTTCACAAAGGCATATTCATGATCTTATCCCATCACTATCAGAGACAATGAAATTTTTGCAAGAGTCTTTTTGAACATGTTTGGATTTATGGTAAGATCAAAACTTTTTCAAAAAAAACAAAAAAAAAAAAAACACAATCACTTGTATTTGAATATATGCAATAATGGGTAAGGTTGTACATTTCCACTTAGGCTGCGTTTTTTCCGCAATAATGGGAATGGAAGCAATGACAATTAGATTTTGTTTCCTATCATTACCGCGTTTCATAAAAAGTAATGGGAAAGAGATTAGTTTTCCTTTGTAATCAGAGATTAGTTTACATAATACTTGCGGCGGTTGATTCAAAACAACTGCCTCTGTCTCCATGAGAATACTGAGCTGGAACTGCAGGGGCATGAACAGCAGCCCCACTAAGCAAGTATTATGTAAATTAATGAAGCAATATAACCCTAGTATGTTATTTTCTATGGAGACTAAGATGGTAGCTAGTAGTATGGTTAAATGGCAGCAAGGGACTAGTTATAGGCACCTCATTTTGGTGGATCCAATAGGAACCAGGGGAGGATTAGCCTTATTTTGGATAGATAGAATCTCTCTGATCCTGCTGGCCAAAAATGAAAATGTAATAGCCGTTAAGGTTGTAGAAGTGACAGGACTAGAATAGGTTGCAATCTTTCTGTATGGTTTTCCTTCTAGACAGGGGAGGACTAAATTTTGGCTTGATCTGAATAGCACACTTAGTCCTCTATCGTATCCTAGTATTCTATTAGGCGATTTTAATCAAGTCATTAATCAAGAAGACAAATATGGAGGCCGACTAGTCAAGGAAGCAAACACTAACTGTATCAAGACTTTTCTGAGTAAGCATGATTTGGAAGAACTCAGACATCTTGGATGTTGGTATACATGGACTAATAATAGACAAGGAGATAGCCTCATATATGAGAGATTGGATAGGGCTTTTGTCAACAAAGCTTGGCTAAGTTTCTTCAACAAAGCTATAATCAGGAATCTCCCCATTTTGAAGTCTGATCATGGTCCCATTTTAGTGGACCTGAAAGAGCAAAACCATAAGAAAAAAATAGAAAAGAATGTTTGAGCAATTATGGGTGAGATGTGACAAGGCAAAGCAGATTGTAAGTCAGCATTGGCAACAGAACCCACAACAGAATCCACAACAGGATCATGACCTACCAAGAAGCATGTCCTTCAAATTGAGCAGATGTTTACACCATTTACACAGGTGGAGTAAGATAGTTTTAATAGCATTGATAAATATATTCAGAAATTGCTCAGGGAGGTGCAACTTCAGCAACAATACTGGGAGAACAATGGCATATAATGTATCATACATACTTAATTTGTTTCATACAAGCAAGTATGTGATAGAGAACAACACTTTTTCGAATATGCCGGATCATGGCTTGTTTGTTGAGAAAAGGTTGTCATATGTGGAATTGATTAGTAAGATTTGTATGACACTTGGTTGGGATCCAACACACGTAAAACTCCACCTTTCTGTGATTTTTGATAGTCCCAGTGGTAGGCGTGTAGTGAAGATCAAGAATGATTCGCATGTAGAGTTCATGAACCGTGTAGCTCCAATGTCATGTATGGATTTATACATAGATTTGGAAGATATTACTCGCGAAGAAAGAGAAGCGAGTTTGGAAAATAACGTGTTATTTAGTGGTTTTCCAAGGAGGGAACGTGCTAGTACTTCTCGAAATCGTGATGAAGAGGAGACACCTTTATTTTCACAAGATGACTACATGGAAGAGTCAGATCTCGACTATATAGCTCCAAGCGAAAGCGAAGAAGACCGTGAGGTCTCTGGAAATAGTGATTTTGATGAAAGTGATGATGAATTATTGGAAACTGAGGAAACAGATCTTAATCCAGCTCCAACGCCATGTATACAGTAAGATGGGGAAATGAGATGCCTTGTGTGTGGACAAGGATGAGTTTTCTCTTAAGATGTGGGATGAGACTCCTGAAGGAATGGACATTGGTGTTTGTTTCAAATCTTAATCAGAAGGAAAACATGCTATGAAATTATAGAACATCCATCATAAAAGAGAATATACGGTTGCCGCAAGTAGTCCAACGACGTGGGCTGTGCGATGCAGAACATTAAATGTACCAAGTGAGGATGATGATCCACCATGTGTGTGGAAGATGCGTGTGTCTTTGAAAGATCACGGCCTTCATGAAATTGTGAGATGGCATGATGCACATAATTGCATGACTCTCGTGAATGATAATGACAATCGGTGTTAGGACGTGTCTTTGATTGCTAGACTCATCAGGAGAAAGGTTGAGGACAACGTAGATTATACGGTGGCCTCGGCACAGAAAGATATGAAGACCTTATTTGCCCCTGCTGGCTTGTTTGTAGTTGTTGGCCCAGGTCGAGGATTTGGAGCAGTGTAGTCGATACAGTTGGGGATCGGCCCTGCTGGCTTGTTTGTACGCTGGCATGTGCGAGGCAACCCAGTACACCATGTACGACATCACTGGCTGTGTATATTTGCTACAGGTACGTATTAGTTTTCATTAGGTGTTATAATTGTTTTGTTTTCGACATTATAATTTGAAGTGCTAACATTATTATTGAAATTTACTAAGTATGGGCGTATGAGCGGATCGAGAGAATCGCACCACATAGAGTAGCACTAGATTATATACTGGATGAGACCGCTCCATTAGCTCAGCGGTGCGTATTTTCATTTCAAAATAACTCAATGTTTATTTTTATTTGTTTCTTATTCAATTTTTTACTAATTAAAATGTAATCCCTTCGTGTTTGTTCATTAAGGTGGGAATGTTCGTACACCTACGGAGACGTCCCAAGGAGCAGCTTGGCACCTTTTAGAGATCAATTAACAAGTCTGCGTCTTGGAGATGTAAGTACCTAATTTGGTATTTTTATTTATTTTGAATTTTTTTTCTTCTGGTTAGACGATTTAAATAAATTCATTTCGTGCAGTTTCTGTGGCAACCATATGCAAGCGTCCTTCCTAAACTCCCTGATTTCTGTAAACAAGGCCACGCCATTTGGACGATTAGATGTTGGATGTTCTACTGCGCTGTTAGGGAACCCCACGAGTCGCTCAGGATTGTGAGACAATTTGGATACATACAGGGTGTTCCCCGTAACCCTATGATTAAAGATTGGAAAGCATTTCTTCTTGATCACGCCTACAGTATGTCTGGCCTACCTAGCAACAATCGGGTGGATCACCATTCCGCAATACGTCCTCACTAGAAAAAGAGAGAAAAGTACGTTCCAGGATTCCCTGGCCAAACATAGAGGGTACTATGAATGGTTCATGATGAATACAATCAAACTTATATCCAATCCCAAAAATTATGAAGCTAAAGGATATGAGTCTTCTTCGAGCCGAGTGAAATCATATGTGAGTTCATTCTATATTTTTGGTTTTTTATTTCTTATATTTTCCTTTTATTTTTTATATCTTTTTATGATTTTTGCATTTTAATCTTTTAATTAACGTTCCAATTTCTTTTCAGGGTGATGTATTGAACAATATTCGCGTGAGTTCCGAGCAGTTTAGAGATGATAGAGATAAGAAGAATCTCCTAGACAATGAACTCGAGGAGTATTTGAATGAAATCATCGATCAAATAGATGCTGCTTTAACCATGGGCCCAAATGATGAGATTGACATGGACGATACCCAAATCTTAGTTGATGACAAACCATCTCTGCCCTCACAACCTGCTCCAGGTAAAAAAGCGAAACCGTGCCAAGAGAGAAGATTGGAGGAGGAAGAAAGCAAAAAATAGTGACCCCTCTCGGTCATCGCAAGAACAAAATGAGGGTGACGGTTCAGGTAATCAACAACAAGAACGCAAGGCGGCTTCTTCTAGATGCTCGCACATCCAAGTCGAAACTTAATTTGAAGACATTGGTGGACCTGAGTCTCAATTTGAAGACGTTAGTGGAGATTCGTAACCACAGTGGGGAGTCCTATTTCTCACTATGGGAGAGTCTCAAACCCAACCCCAACCCCAACCGCATCAACAACAGGGTTCAATACTCACGTATCTTCGGAGGGAAGACAGGAACTTCCAGGCACCAAATAAATACACTCCGAGTGCGCCGAGGAAAGAAAAAGGGAAAAATTGAGCGCGTTGATATTTTTTTTTTTACATTGAAAGTAGTTTTAGGATTGATTTTGGATTGAAACTTGTTATGTTTCGTTGTTAATCGAATGAAGTTTATTGTTTTGTTGCCATTAGATTTCTGTTATTCTATGTTTTATTGTTGTTGGTGCTGTAAACAGGTTTTGGACTGGTTAAAACTAGTCCAATTTTTTTTTTCAGTTCTGACAAAGATCCGGATTTCGTAAATCCGAAGTCCTGCATTTTGTAAAGGACTCAGATTATTCAAATCCGACTCAATGCCTATCTGGGAATTTCAGTTTCTCAGAGAAACAGACGAGATCCGGATTTTGTAAACCTGACGTCCTGCATTTTGTAAAGGACTCGGATTTTGCAAATCCGACTCAATGCCTATCTGGGAGTTTCAGTTTCTCAGAGAAACAGACGAGATCCGGATCACCTAAATCCGAATTTATACAACTTCGGATTTCCTTCATCTGTCTTTAACCAAAGAGGAGATCCGGATTTACAAAATCCGTTCTAACTCTTATTCGGATTCCCGTAATCCGAGTTTAGACAAAAAATTATTTTCCAACACTTATCATTTTGTCATCCCAGTACCGGAAATTAATATTATATTAGTGAATTCGGATTCGAAAAGTCCGTATTTTTATTAATTACACAAAATCTTTTCATTAACTTAATATCTTATTAACGTTACACAGGTCCGAATTTCAGTAATTTGAATGTACCGTGATTCGGATTTCAGTAATCCGACTGTTACGTTGATTCGGATTTCTGAAATCCGTGAAATGTAGTTTTGTCCACATAATTTCTGGTAAATTTTTTTTTCCAGGTCCTTAATGTGCAAATATATTTTTTTAAAAAAACTCAATAACGTGCCCAGGTAATCCTAATCTCACCTGATTGCTCTACTTATCTTTTCAATTTCAAATAGGAAAAGAAAAACTCAAAAGGATATACTAATTAGGCCTGTTAAAATTTTGTGTGGGAGAAATTTTGTTCTATTTTCTGATTTCTGTTATGTTTATAATTATTATTGCGCAAATTATTTTTTTCTTACGATTTATTTAAAATTTAAAATTTTCATTCTCATACCTATGTAAAAAAGAAACCCATCAATCGCCAAGTAATGCTTATTCCAATGCATATTTGAAACATGTCAAAACTAATGAAAAGAATAAGGATCCGAGAGGAGAGAATCCTCAGTAAAGGATAAAAATGCCATTCTGTAGATGACAAAAAACTAAAATTAATTTAGAATTTATGATAATGTATAAAAATATGCTCATGCCTTTTTTTTAGTAATAATTAATATTTATCCAATGCCCATATGGAAAAAAGTTTCCTAAAAAAAATATAATATCTATTTTTATCTATATCTGTTAGAGTTCCAGGCGTTACCAAAAATAAAATAATATTTATTTTTATTTATGTGATTATTTTATAGTCGATAATAATATAGGATCCTATTGGTAAATATATATTTATCATTGACTTATATTCATATTTTAATTTTATATATCAAAATAAAACAATAATATATTAAACAATGAAAAATAGTTTCCATTTTTTTTTGATTTAAAAATAAACAACAAGATTAATAAAAATGAATAAAAGATAAAACATCAAATTGATAAACACAAAGTAAATAATTATAAAAAAATATATATCAATAATTAAGTTCAACAATAAATGATAGGCATATCATTTATTTTTAGACTTACATTATACTTACATTTCAAACCAAATTATAATTTATTAAAACATCCTAGTTTAGTAAACAAATACATTTAAAAATTAAGTCTCTAATTAGTTAATTTCTTAATCAATTAAGTTGTTGAGGTTACATTATCAAACAGTGTCAATCAATTTAACACTTTATCAATTAAATTTAAGTCGTGAATGAGTTTCTCAGACAAGGGGAAAATTTTTAAATATAAAACTAAATATTCCCTCTGTCCCAAAATTATTGTCCAGTTTGAGATTTTACTTTTAGTACAATTTGAACTAAAAAGAAATACCTAAATTGAACAATAATTATGGGACGGAGGGAGTATAATAAAAGTTTTTTTTTTTTTTGGTAATTTCAATTGCATAAAAAATAAAATAGTAATCGACTACAAAACTAAGCGCACAAGAATATTCATGGCGGCCCAAAATACCAATCCACCTCCACTAGGCTAGAAGATTTGAGTTCGGAGGATAGGACCAAAAGCTCACTTATTATAACCTTCATTATCCTACCAATGTGACAACCACTTGTCCAAGATGCACAATCAATCCACGTACTAAGCTTCACTTAATAACAAAATTTTGTGCTTCCGTTGCACCAGAATCATTTATCTCTTGTCCTCCGTCTAAACTATCTAGGGCTGAAAATGAATTAGAGATATTAATTTCTTTCTCTCCTTGTTAAACCTATAAATGAAAGTTATGGTTAAATATCAAACCCTCGTTTGGTTTTGCAAAACATTTGCCTTTTTCCCTCATTCTTCCTTTTTTTGGGCATCATGATCTGTTTCCTTTAAATAATTAGCTTTCTTTCCTTTTTCCAATTTCCTATGTTATATTTTGCAATTCTAAAATTGTATTTCTCCTTACCTGGAGAAAAGAAGAAGAAAATGAGAAAAAGAAATTTACGTTAAAGAAAAAAAAGAAAATCAATTTATTTTTTTTGGTAAACATGTAAATATATTGATTGAGGATAATCAGAGTGCATATTTACAAACCAAAACAACTCTATTACATCCAACTCTTATCTACACTAGTATTTACAACTAGTGTCTAAATAACTCAAGACAAAATTGCAGCTACTTTAGCGTTTTGCTTGGAACCTTGATACATGTCGAATCGCCAGCCTACCTCCTGTTTGATGCTTTCCAGAATTTCCTCCTCTGCTCTACTATTCCCGTTGTGTATTCTGGCATTTCTTTCTTTCCACACGTTATATACCACTGCCACCATTACAGCACACAAGATACCTCTTCTTAGTTTCATTCCTTTCCAGTAATTCAGCACAAATATCCTCCATTCATTCTGAGTTCTGAACCTCTTGGTTATGCCTAACCAGTGAGTTACTTTCTCCACTAATGAAGCAGAAAACTTGCACTCAAAAAACAGATGTTCTGATGATTCTAAAGCATGTTGACAGAATACACAGCTAGCATCCCCACTCAACAAATGCAGGTTCAATAATCTCTCTCTAGTCAAAAGTCTATTATTTCAGAATAGCCAAGCAATAAAACTATGTCTTGGAACATTAAGCTTAGACCAGACAAACTGAGATTCTATTGATCTACTACCATCTCCTGACGACCACTTATACCCAGAATTGATAGTATACATACCTGAACTTGAGTGCTTCCATTTTATGCAGCCATCAACTTCCGTCTTCATCATATCTTTCAGCTTTAAGATCTGCTTCCACTGCCAGCTTGCACCTGGAGTTAGTTGCAGGTCCCAAAAACTTTTCCTTTTTATATAAATCTCATGCATCCACTTCATCCAAAGGTTGTCTTCTTTCTGCCAAACTCCATACTTGCTTCATAATGGCAGCCTGATTCCATTTCTGTGCATCCCTGATACTCAGCCCCGCTGCCTTCGTACTTCTACACACCTTTTCCCAACTTACCAAAGGCATTCTGGATCCTCCATCTTTAATTCCCCATAGGAATGTTCGACAGATTCTATTGACTTGCTGAGTGATACTCTGGGGGAGTATAAATGCTTGGACCCAATAGTTTTGCATTGCCATCAGGACAGAGTTAATGAGTTGCAACCTTCCTGCATAGCTGAGATTTTTCGAGTACTCTTAACATTTGATCTTAGCAGCCATCCGTTGAATTAAAATGTCACACTCTACTTGATTCCATTTTCTGGGTGGAATGGGGACCCCCAGATATTTCATTGGGAATGTCCCTTCTCTAAACCCTGTCAGTTCATATATTCTTTTCCGTATATCTTCTGGTA